TAGTTAGGCATGCAGGTATAGTGCCTTTCAAAAAAGAGGTATTAGCAAATCATGTTCTTCCTGAGAAAAACTGAAAAGGAAATTTACATTCGTTTTTTTCAGTAATTTTCTGCCATAAGTTTGAAACAACAACAACAACAAAAAAAGTCAATTTTATTGATTATTTTTCAGTGGAAGAACATTTTGTTTTTGCATTTTGGTTTGATTTTCCCACAGAAATGCATAGTGACAAAACCCCAGAAAACAGAACAGAAATGGTAGCTATTGCTCAGCCCTTCATAATAAAATGCCATTTTGTTTTTATTTATATCTCTCCCTAAACTGTAAGACTAGAGTGAAATGAATGTGTTTATATAGGAAAAAAAGTGATAATGTACTCAAAGCAGCAAATTTTTTATCATAGCTCTTTTATTTTAATGTAATAGACTTTGAATCCTGGATATGTAGGACTTCCATTCTAAAAATTGCCAGCACAAAAGAAGAAAATAGTGAGAGAAGCCAACATATGACGAACTGTCTTTTAAATTCTGGGGTCTGGAAAAGTCTGCTGTGTCACATTATATTTGTGGATTTCCAACTGCAACATGCAGATGTATGCACATGAATAATTTTCAGCAGAAGAGCTCTAATCCCCTTGTAGAAAATAGAGTCAGTCAAATGTGTGAAGTTACAATATGTATTCATGGTTTGGTGACTGAAGCTTAAGATTGAGTTCCGGGACACTGACTTTGTTTTCAAATATCTTAAGTTTTTAGCATATGTGCTTGATTGAATAACTCTTCTGGGTTCATGCTCTCTGTTTGCTGTCTTCCACGTGCATCTAGAAAATGTGGTTTGTTTGTTTTTTTAATATGCTGGATTGCTTTGATACTAAAGAGTGAGGTATAAATTATTGTTTTTGAACTCCATGGATTTTTCTACTCTAATTATAAGATTGATAGTCTCTCTGACAGTATTGTGCGGGCTTGAAATGAAAGATAGAGTGAGAAGGTACACAGCTCAGAAGTAGTTGATTTCAATCTTCAATGCATTCACTAAATAATTCAGTATCACTAATGGAAATCTGATCTTAGCACGGGAGTGGGGATGCAGGGCACTCAGTTACCAGGGTTTGGCAGCTCAATAGCTCGGGAACAACTATGGAGCAAAAGGTGAAAACACCTTTAAACTATTGTAGAGTTCTCTTCTTTGCTTTCCTGGAATCATGTTACGTTTTCCTGGAGCTGCTGTTGCTGATGGTGAGGAAAAGCAGTGAAAGAAATTGATATTTACAGTGTAACAAACAAACAAGGCAAGCTCAGCTCCAGCTGATCTAACTGGTGTGCAAGGGGTGGTGTTTACTTTTTGAAAAGTACAGCCTCATTCTACTCAGCAGTGGGACCGAAACCAGTGTAGATCTTCTTGCAAGAAAGTTTCATAAAGCCTTGTCCTCTGACTTTCTGAGCTCTAGAGTCAGAATTTTTTGAGGGCATCTTTGGAAGTACTCCTTTTAGAAGCTCCAAGTAGTCTTCTTCAGGTGGCTTGTGAAGTGATTACCTAACAGTAACAAAGAGCCTGGCTTTAAAGAGAGAATTTGGTGTTTACATTTTTTCAAAGGAAAAAACCCCACCTAATTGAAAGGGAATTTATTATGGGCGCTTTCTGCATTTCGGCAAAAATTGTTTCTAAAGGTGAGAGCTCCTTTCCCCAAAATGGTCTTAAACTTTTACTGTTTGAATGGGGATTCTAATTAGGATCTAATACTTTTGGATTGTTTGTGAGAGCATTTGCACATGGCACCAATCAAAAATCCTTTTATAGCTTCTTATGGCCCTAACCTTCACTTTTCCTTTTTAAGAGATAACTCAGCCCTGTCTTTCTCATTTAGGTTTCCAATTTTTACTTTGGGTAGCAAAGAAGGTACATGAAGACAGAAACTGGACTTCTACAGCTTCCAGTCCATTACTCACCTCTGTTTTTTGATCAGGGTGAAACAAACAGCAGCTACAAACAAATGTTCAGGATTTTAAAGGTAAATATCCCTGACAATCTGCAGCAAATTCTCCTTTCTAGGTTACCTTTGTGTTCAGAGCAGAAAAGTAGTAGTCAAAAAGTATTTTTTCAGTAGGGGTTTCTCTACATGTCACTGTATATGTTGACTAGTCTGTAGTTCCAGAGATCATGTAGCAAATATATAATTGTCTGGGGAAAAAAAAAAAGTCAAGAGAGACAAAACAGCAGAGAAGATCTGGAGATAAGATTCTCCAGCTTTACCATTCTTTTAATAATGAAAATATCCCTGTGGAAGTAAATGGTCATACTTATCTTTCATCCATCCCTTTTCTCCACTGTCCTGCTCTTTCCCACTAGGAACCAGCACCATAGACACCTTTAAGGCTGTGACTAACATATAGTTGATGACTTTTTATTGGCAAAAGAAGTTACATTGGTCCTTTCAAGATTGCTGTATTCACCAACTATCTCAACTTCTGTGTCTTTATGAGTATCTCAATAGCAAAACTTCAGTCAGGAAATTGAAGTGTTATACTCCATTAATATCAAAGGTATCTAACACAGTGGGCAATTTGAGGCAAAGAATATTTTCCTGTGTTTTACACTGCTTATTGCAAAGGAAACCTCAGTTAAGCCTCAAGGTGCCATTGAGACAAATAATATGAACATTAAAACATATTTACTTTTTGTCAATCAAAAACCTAAGTACTCTCTTTTTCAGTCATAGTCCAGACCATAATACGTCCTTTGAGAAGCTCTGCTAACCTTGTCTGCAGTTTTATTTTGGAGATTCTGAGTCAAAACCCAAACCATATCACTCAAAACTAGTTTCTGTGCATGTCAGCTCAGTTTCAAGAGAATAATTTCTGAGCTACAAAAAATTGTAGAAAATCTGTGACCAAATTTGGTCAAAGATTATCTGTTGGCATTGCTTCTAAAATTAAGTGGCCAAAATGAGGATTTTAACATCATGCACATCTTTGTGAAAAGCAGTTGCTTTCTGCAGAAAGCTTCCACTGTTTTATGAAAATGTTAATTTTTCAGTGTTTTGGCTAAGACTCAGATTTCTGTAAGGAAAGTGAGAAATCTCTTGACCCACTTTGATGAAATCTTTTTTGGTTTCAATCAAGGTGAACTTACAGCCATTGTCCTCTTTCCTGTTTTGTTACTCAGACAGGATTGATCACCTGAAATGTGCTATTGTGGTTGTATGGAGAATTTCTAGGGTTTGAAATGTGTCAACCACTACCAGGTGTTTTTTGATGGAAAGTTTCTTTCTCTAAATGTTTGTCGTGCTTAGCACCATGATGTCAGGATTTCACTGAGAAGCCCTCAGAAAGGTGCAAACTGGCATTCATTCAACCTTGCATGCTCTGAAATATGAATACTATTGAGTGCTCATTTCCACTCATCCAGCTGCTAGAAAGTATTTTCTCTCCATCTCAAGACATCACTTTACACTGCAAATCAAAATTGTTTTTTTAAATTACATCACTGTCATTAAAACTGCTGGTGGTGCAAATCCTGAACAGCCGCCATGCCAGGACTGAACACATAACTCTGTGATGAAAAGAAGATGCCAAGGTGTGGATGGAAGGGGGTAGTTTACTTTACTAAGAAGGACTCCAGGTGAGTGCAATTGCCTGCTCTGGGACTAGCTGTACAGTGCTTTTCATTGTCACAGATGGTAGGTGTTAGATGATGCAATGTGTATGGTGCCAGACAAATTACTTTTTTAGCTCATTCCTCTGGAAACAGGAGAAGAATCTGAACTGGATTTCTGTGCAAACCTGGAGCAGGAGCTGCAAGCTGCAAACCCAGCTGAGACCTAAGCAGTGAATGGACCCAGTCTTTCAAGTGAAGGCAGGGACTTGCTCTGGGGAAAGGGAATTACACAGAAATTGCCTGGAGTTTGGAACAAGTCCACTTAGTTTTAAATTAAGCTGTGGATTGGGGAACACTCTTATTCAATGGATATAATGAACCTAAAAGTTGGAAAAGTCTGCTCCTAAATGAAAACCTTGATGCAACTCCAGCAACTGCTACAACCAGAAGTGTTGAAACGCCATGACAAAAGTTGTTCTCATACTGCTTTCAGGCCACGTTGAAATTAAAACTTAGGGAAGGGGGCTCAGTTTGGTGAAATTTTTTTTGTTGTTTTGTTTGTTTGTTTGTTTTGTTGTTGTTTTTGGTTTTTTTTTTGTTTAGTTTGGTTTTGTTTGGGTTTTTGTTTGTGGGTTTTTTGTTTGGTTTTGTTTCGTTTGGTTGCTTTTTTTCTTGTTTGTTTCTCATTCCTCAACAGTATTTCCAATCCAACACGGCCCCGGTCAAAATGGCAAGCTCGAAGTCAGCGAGGCTAAAGTTTAAGCTCCCCAAACTCTGACAGCCAAAGACGATCCGTGCAAAAGCTGCTGTGGATGTTTGTACCTGCAAAGGCAGCTGAAGCCCCGACGAGCCCCCGCACAGGCCGGGGGGTGGGTACCATGAGGTGCACCCCCCGACCCTCGGCTCCCCCTCTCGCTGGGTATCGTGAGGAAGAGGAGGGGAAGCTACCTGGACTAACAAACCCAGTAGGGGCACCCGGGCCAGCCCCGGTGCCGCGGGGTCCGCGCAGCCCCGCCGGGCTGTCCCCCGGTGCGCTCCGGCGGGGGGAGCAGGGGGAGCTGCCGCCGAGCCCCGCGGAGCGGAGTGGCCCGTCCCGCCCCTGCCCACCCCCGCACCCGCCCAGCCCGGCAGCGGGGGCGAAGGCTGCCCCGCGGGGACCCCGCTCGGCGGGCGCGCCCGCTCCGCATCACACGAGGGGCAGCGCGGCTGCTCGCTCTGCCCCGGCGCCCCGCCTGCCTCCCTCCTCTCCGTCGCCTCGCAGCAGCCCGGCTCCGCCGAGTCAAAGCGCGGATCAGGTTCCCTGCCCTCAGTATTAAAATCTCGGCGAGAAACCTCCTGCGGGAGAGAGAAAGACGGGGCGCGGGCGGAGCGTGAGACGGCCGGCTCCGGCGAGCCCGTCCGTGGGGAAGCGAAGGGACGCGCGGGCGGCCGCACCAGCCGCTGCTCACCGGGGACGGTCGCTGTCGCCCTTTCAGCTGCGCAAGAGAGCTTTTTGACGCCCGAAGTAAGTCCGAGCGGCGGCGGTGGCGGCGGGGGCTCCCAGAGGGAGTGTGCCCGAGGGATGGTACCCCCTAGCAGATCTCCTCGAGTCTGACAGCGCTCGCTCCCCCAGGGGCAGGGTGGGAAGCAGTTCCCCCTTCCTTGTCTTGTCTCCGGGACACTTGCCCCAGCAGGGCTCCGCAGAGGGTGGCCGGACAGAGGGGCCATGGGGCTGAGTGGGAGCGGGCACCTGATACCACGGAGACATCTGCCCGAGGGGCAGACGGGGGGCGAGGTCTGGGGTGTCCGGGAGCACCCCGGGTACGGGACCGCGCAGTGCCGTGGTGGGGAGTCGGCGGCGGGTCGGTACGTGGGAGCGCTTAAATGCCAAGGCTGGTGAGAGGGAGAGAGGTGGCGGTGGGTGACGTGACCCAGAGGGAAAGGGAGGCAGGAGTCCTCGGGCGGGTCCGTTTAGAGAGGACAAAAGGGCAGCGGAGTGACCCCGGAGCGGCAAACCCCCTGCGGGTCTCAGTTACCGTGTGCCAGCAATGTCCCGGCTGAGACTCGGGATAACGAGTTTAAGTTATACCTTCAGGCCGAGCACTGCAACTGATATTTTTTCTTGGGACTTTGCCTTCTTATCCCTAGTTTACTTCTGGTGGAACAACTGAATCTAGCAAGTGCTGATAGATCTATTTAAAACTGCCATCGTTAGTTTGTGTCTTCTGCTTCCTCCAGAGGAATGGGTTGGGAGAAAGTCTGAGTTAACAATGGTGAAAGCACAGTTTCCTCTTTGTTGAGCATATATGTTATTCTGCAAATCTGTTGTGGTCTCCAATATTGGTGCTTGTAGCTCCTTACCCTCTTTTTCTCCCTCCTTTTTAAAAGTAGAACTTTTCATAGGGGAAACGTAGTCTTGATTCTTTGAGAGCTTATCTGCTCCTTTTACATCTTCCAGTTGGCTGTTGCACATCTTTCTCTTCCACACTGCAAGTGGCTTTTGGTGAATGTCTACTGTGCTTTAGCTTAGAGGTACACTTGGAATTTGGCTTCTAGGATGTAAACCTTAGAGACTAGTTGGTTCTTGGGAATGACATGTTAAATCTTTCTCTGTGAGATAACCCTGCATCTATGGGTAGTGTTTTAATTAGATCCTGTTTGCTTTAAATTACTTGTATTACAATAGAGGAACGCTTTACCTGTGGCCATGAAGTCTTGAATTCTCTGCCCTTTCCTTGTTTTGCCTTTGGGCATTGATTTTTTTTTTTTTTTTAGCTTTTAGCAAAGCTCAACTTTTTTTTAGCAAGAAATAGTAGACTGAGTGTGTAACTAATGGTATTAGGGAGAAGGAGGGAAGGGGTGGGGAGAGAAAGAGAGTAGGAAAGGAAAGTTGTTACAAAGAAATAATTTTACCTGGTCTGAACAGTGGTCTTGAGCTAATTACAAAACAAATTTAATGCTTCTGTGTGTTTGTTTTGTTTTGTTTATTTCAGTTTCCTCCTTCCAAAGGAATAAAAATAAAAAAAAAAGTCTGAACTTTCGATCATGAGAAATGGTTTGAAGACAAAAAGGAACCTATGTATTTGTGGCAGAATTTATTAATTAGCTGGAGAAATTAAAATTTGGAAGTGCAAGGACAGGGTACTTCATTGGACTAAAAAAAAAATCCAAACCCCCAAACCAACCCAAAAAAGCAGCAGGAAAAACCTGCTGCATAATTTAGTGAAGGAAAGCAGATGTTTAATATACTCCTGTCTTCAGGCTAAGCTAAACTCTTCGGTGACTTATTACACATGAAGCTTTGTGTGAAATTAAAGGACCGAAACTTACTGACTTTAGCGTGCTCCTGAGCCAGCTCTTGGGTGGGAAAAAGAGAAGCCAGCAACAAAACTTTTTTTTTTTTCTTTTTACAATTGATAAACCTTTTTTTATAGTGTAGAAAAGGCCTAAGAAAAACAGACTTTTTGCAGTTATCCGGATGTCTATCCCCAGATATTTGAGATGCAGTTTGTGGCTGATACACCCTTGCCAGCAGAAGGTTTGTCTTGCTATAGTATTACAAAACATAGCACTGCTATCCTAGTACCATATGCCTGCCTGTGTTCTACGCCCATAATGACACTGGGGACACTTTGAGGCTTATTTTATTCCTGACACAGCTGTACTGATGGATGTTTTGTGTAGGTTAATCTTTCTGCCACAAATGTGAATATTATTACTTAGTGGACTTCTAGCAGTCATGGCTCCAGTGAGGTACTTCCCTGACACGTCCTCTATTTCTTCTTGATTGTTCTGGGAGTAGTTGTTACTGAGTGCTCAGATAATAGTTTAAAATAATGCTTTACAGAAGCTCTGAAAATGCACTCATTTTTTTGTTTTGTTTTGATTTTGTTTGTTTGTTTTTTGGGGGGGGGGTGTTGTTCGGATTTTTTATTTTGTCGTTGTTGGTTTCCTTTTTTTTTTTTGGCCAGGAAAGATACAATTTATCTAGTGTTATAGTGTAACAAGTGTTTTAGTGTAACACTAGAGCATTAGGGATGGAGTTGGCATGGCTCATTGCTCCTGCTCTGTTCAGGCCCCCTCATTACCTACATTCCCAACTGTGGCGTTTTCTGTGGGAATTGGTCTTTAACAATGTCCGCTTTGCTTCGATATTTACAACCTCTTGCTGATCAGTGTATCAAAAGCATTTTCATTTAGAGGATGCATTTCAGGACTTTAATTGAGGAAATCTCTTTGTTTCAAGCCTCTATAATAAACCATTCAAATCGCTGTCTTTGAACGAACTAGGTCACTGTAACGCGTGCACACATAGGGTGATTCTCATCTGCTTAGGGTAGCCGAAACTCAGTTGAGCCATATCCCTGGTGAGCTTGTCCCTGATTTATCCTTCTTGGACTGGCTTGTTCACAGGGAGCTTATGTTGAAAATTCACTGCTGGAGGTCATTCTCCATTCTTGGCATCTCTGGCAGCCTTAAGCTTAAATTGCAGTCTCGTTTTCTGTCCAATCAATACCACTCTTATGTCGCTGAGTTTCCATGGTGCCCCCAATCTTCTGTCTACATATTGATGTCTGACAGCAGGAATAGCATTCTGTGTCGCTATATATACTTACTAAACCTGTCAAAACTATTTAGGGTCTGTCGCACTAATTTATATCCATATCCTGATATTATTTGTATCTGTTGAGCTTTGACTGATGGAACTCGCTGCACTAAGGAATCAGCCCCAACAATGCACTCCAGGGATGGCTCAAGGAATGGATGTTTTGAGAAAGGGGAAAAAGACTCTCTTCTAGAGTAGCTGGGGTAGTCTAGAATCCTTTGAGCACAAAAGAATCATTTTGAAAACATCCAAGTCTCAATGGCTCCAAGTTAATGCTTTGGAAATCATTCTTCATTGTGCTGTTCTGAATGCACAGAGGGTCCTCTCTGATGGAGCCATGCAGAGGAAAATAAAAAAGTGGGCATTGTCAAGTGTTCAATGTGCATTTGATGAGAGGTGGGGAAAATTTGAGTCAGTTGTCTTACATCAGTTTCTTCAGCAGAAACACTGTGGAAAAATTAAATTAAAGGAGCCAACAATGTCCTCTGTAATGTGGATGTTCTTGTTTTACTGCAATAACTCACAGAGCACAGTAGTTGTGTAAGAAATGATATGGTGGTGTCTCTGTAGACTGACATAGCAGCAGCTAAACTAGGTGAGAAAAGGCATATCTTTTGTGTATCACTAAATTTCAAGGTACTGATTCTTGTTATTCATGCCAACAGTAATAGACTCTAAAAAAAATCAGTGGACTTTTTTTTTATTTAAATATGCTTTGCAAACTGTTGCATTTGAATTGAACGGAAGTGGTCATCAGCTGAAGAAACTCTTTAATCTCACTACCTTTAACATGAGATTGATCCAACTCTTGAAATAAGAACTGGCAGTCGGTATGGGATTCGCTGGCTAAAATTTTTCTTGTTCTGAGTTGCCAGAACTGATTTTATGATGTCAAGTTCATCAATACTTTTCAGACCCTCTTCAGGCTCCTACAGTCTTCTCACTGATGAATACTTTCACTCGAAGACTTAAAAAGCCCCACTGCAGGTGATAGTATTAAAGTAGTTCAGTTTATGTTTTCAGCTATGGTTTACTTTATCATCATGGAAAGAGTCAGTAGGACTTTACCAAACTAGACTCTCTCTTGGCCAATACGTCTCACCTTCTTTTATTCCAAGGAGTAGAATCACTGAGCCATTTAAAATATCTGGCTCTGCCTTCTGCAGTGGCACCATGATGGTTCTGTTGTTTTTTAACTTTTTTAATTTCCTTCCTTGCTTATATGTGGGAGTGGCTTTGTAAAAGCTGTAGTCATCTTGCAGACTGCTTTTTAATTTTTTTCAGACTGAAGATTGAGAGAACACAGTTGTAGGCAGTTTCATGGGAGATGAGAAGGGAGAATGTGAATGTAATAAAGAGCTAACTATATTACTGATACAGCCAGGGGATTTTTCACCCTCACCATCCCTCTACTCCAAAAAGCCACTGCCCTTCCTTGCACATTCTGGTTTCAATGTGGATAACCTCTGGAGGTGAGGAATGGAGCTAACTGTGTTTGAGGCAAAATCCAGTTCCATTAAGTTAAGTAAAATATATTAATGTGGTTTTTTGGGCCCTAGGAGCACACTGCTCAGTCAGTGCCACTGATTGCACGGCAGCTGCAAGAGAGGGGTAAAGACTTAGAGCAGAAGAGCATTACAGGAGCTGGGGACTTTCTGATAAAAATAGTCTCTGAAAATAAATAGTGCTTGGGGCTCCAGTACACTGCCATTTAGCAAACTGCAAAGTTCAATTTTAAACTGGGCCTTTCTCCTTTGAGGCCTGCCAGCACTATTTCAGAGCTCATTAAAGATTTCACAAGAGTATTATAAAAATCTTCCTTCCTCATTAGTTTCTACACAGTTTCAGTGTAACTTGGACCTTGTAAACATCCTCTCTTTAGTTGTAGATTATATCATTGTCAAATGCCTGTGAGAAGG